ATAACAATACAAAATGTTTCACAATGTGAAACAACACTGCCCCTTGCCTTCCTACTCAGCCTTCCCTTTGATCTACCTTGGTCGTGATGTTACCAAAACACTGCAGTGTGACAGCGGTAGGCCGCTGCAAACCTTCCTGTTCCTCCAGTCCCCAGTACTTGAACGTCTCATACCCTAGGGAAAGGCTTAACACAGCATTTCACACATCCTTGTTGCACTTGACCTTGTGGGGTCTGAGCCCTCATCTGTGCCTTTAATTACTCTTTTCAATTACTGAAAATAGCAAAATCAAGGAAACCTTCCTGATATCTATTGCTATCACGTCAAGCATCACAGTCCAAGGGAGCAACTTTGACCTTCTTAAATATAGATAGCTTTTTGGGCAGGTGCAGAGTGTTCATCTTCATAACAACCTGTAATTGGTCAGCAACTTGCGATTTCGTTTCACTAAACGTTCTCATTCGGATGTACAAGCAGCTAAAGCAGGCAGTCCTTTATAACATGTTCATTTATTATATCACATAGCTTAATATAATTTTGCTGGGTATAGTTACCCCTTCTGCTTGAAATGAGTATTTTTCTTGGATATTTGACTACGGCTTGCTTGGCGTTTCTGATTGATTGTTGGTATTAACTGTAGAAGCAATACTTTATCGTAACTTTAAGGCTGACTACATTTTTTATGCAGTTATTCTCCAAACATCATGTCTAACTTGTCACAAACTTTGAAGTATATTTAACACGAGAACCTACTGGGAGCCAGGCTTCAACCTGAATGATGTATGCATGAGTGCACTGGCTTATACATGTGCAACTTTGTTTTGTGGGAACCCCTCTGGACTTCGACAGTCTTTCATTTTGTCCTTTGCAGAGAAAGTAAAGCTTGCACACCAGGCAATGTTTTCTGCATACAGCTAGCAAGATGGAGCTGGCATACAGGAAAAATTTCTCATTTGAAATGTGAAACAGGTCTGCATTTTTCCCTTGATGCCTGACTTTTATCTTAAACGCACAGGAGGATGTCTCCCAGATTTGAGAACTCTGATTGAACTCTACAGTGGCAACGTTGGACAGCTAATAGGCTCTGTAACTTTGAAGGGAAATGATTATTCCAGTATGCTTTTTCATTTACACTTTGTCTCACGTAAGCATGTGTTTCTCTTCTGAAATCTAGGTGGTGCATTATTTATATGCTAATAATACAAAGTAAGTCCTGAAATATGCATCTCTGTTCCATCTGCTGTACCAATACAGCAACTGTATACTAGAAATGTTGCTTTAAACCCTGCTTTCAAAAAGAAAAAAAAAAAAAACAACTATTAGTTATACATCAAAACCACTTTTCTATAATATTTTCAGGATTTGCTGGCTCTATTTACCATGAATGCTCCAGCTTTTCGGTTTGTAAGCAAAGCTGAAATGGAAATGGTAGGCAAGCCGAATCACACTGTCAGGAAACAGGAAGTATGCAAAGGCTAGGAGAGCCTCTAAAAATAGCAGTGCCTCCAAGTAATTTTTCGAAATATCAATACACAGTCCTTCAGCAGCAAACACTCAGAATTACTTTATATATAGGATCATTTGGAAACACAAAGTGGTCTGTAATATCTTTCCTGTTCAGAATAAAAATTCTTACCCTTAGTCATGGTTCAAATGCTGTTTATTTATATATCTATATAAAAATCTATATATATCTATATATAGATATATATATATGAGACACTTAGTCATATTGAGATATTACTTAGAAATTTCCATCCAAACACTCTCAATAAAATAAGCTGAAATCCCAGTTTCTAAGCAGCTCAGCAGAAGAGATGACTGGTATAAATGGTAGCATGTAAGATACAGTTTAGTCCAAATGTCTACTGCAGAAAGAATAGCTATCATAGACCACTAAAATTATAGCTTTATGAAATAGTACTGCAGGATTTGCAAGTAAGAAGTTTTCATTTGCATCCAGTATTTTTCCTGTTTTAAATTTTCACATTTAAAATAAATCATTAAAACCCTTTGAAAAAACTCAGATTAACAATATTTTCAACAGCAAACATTATAGTTTTCTTGTTTTTAAACCATGCAAACAAAACTTTAGGGAAGCTACCAGTGAAATTGTGCTAACATTAGAAAACACTTCTACAAACAATGATATCAAAGACCTGTGAAGTTCATGCCTTTATACGTATAATAAATCCATTCACCTCATGGGCAGTTACTAAACTCGAAAGGATATATGGCTTGAATATAAAGAAAATTTAAGCTTTAAGGACATCTTGATTTTTTTCATTTTGATAACCATTTTTTGCTACACGTGAACTCCAGAAAAGCATGCCTTAAACAATAAAAATTGCTTTTAAGTGTGATCACATTACCTTGGTCAAACAGCTATTACAGGTTTTTTTTAAATCTATTCTAGACAGCTCAACTATCACATATTCAACAAGGTGGAAAGGGGTAAATGCCAGTGAATCTAATTCTACCTGCATTTCTTTGTCCCTCCCATATTTCAGTTCTACTTAACAGGACCCAGCTATTCTACTACTTAAATGACTACACGGTCACATATAGCCAGCAAGCAGGCCACATATCTAAGCATGTGCTAGAAAGCCTCGTAGCTAAAGCAGTCACAAAGTGTATCTCAAAAGCTGTGTTATGAGTCACTTAAATAGAGGACTGATGGAAACCCAGTTCCTAAAAGAGAACAATAACTTTGTCTTGACCTCAAATTGTATTAATTATAAACCTATTTAGCAGCATGGACTTCACAAAAATATTAGCGTAAATTGAGCTTTGCTATAATGGAATATTTAGGGCTGAGCTGATTACTTATATTATATTATAAAACAGGCTAACAGATCCACTTTCCTATGTAAAACAAAATATAACTCAGTTTAAGTTGATTAGTAATAACTACAAGCCACGTATTCTTCTATCCCCCAAACAGCAGGAGATCTGCAGTATCAATTGCAGCTTTCTTGTGTGCTAATGAATCATACACAATATATGCAAGCTATCTGCATGGCCAGTACACATTTTGCAATTCATCTAAAAATTCATGTAGACAGATTGATTTTCTAACTCCAATAGGAATTTAAATCCACAGGGTACCTTATGAATTATGGAGTCCAGTAGACCAAGTCATAGACACCATAATACAATTTATTTCCTTAAATCTCAATTTCTCTCTTTTTTTTTTTTTTTGGCCAATCACTGTTTTATTTGACAAGCTTGTTGTTGAAGCTTGTTTTTAATTATTTCTAACATCAATTTATTGATCAGTTGATTTGAGGAAGGGGCAGGGGGAGGCAATATGTACACGTCTCTCTGATGTCCCTCTGTGTTCATTAGAGAGAAGAAGAGAGAGAGAAAAACAAGTTCAAAATGAGGGTCGTTGAGCACTGGGACACGTTGCCCAGAGCTTGAGCAATCTCCACCTTTGCTGACAGTTGCAGGTCCACAGGACAACGCTCTGAGCAGCTTGATCTAACTTTGAAATCTCTGCTTTGAGCAAGGAAGATGGATGACAGACCTTCATGCAGACACAGGGGAATTGGAAAGTGTGCACAACCTCAGGCTTCATTTACAGAATTACCTCCTAGATGAAAGGCCCATACAGCTTAAGGACTCTCATATGGTAACTTCATTACTCTATCTTGTTTTCAATGAAAAATTAATACAGCAGTTCCCATATATTTTAAATAAAAACTTAAAATAATTCCTAAATCTCTTTTTCCATTGCTTAAAAATACTTTCTTTTGATACTTGTGAAAAAAAATATCTGAGTTCGCTTAGGAGTGCATTTTTTGACATCTCTATCATTTTACTTTTTGAGTGCACCACAGTAAAGATGTAACATAAAACAAATTACAGGCAAGATAACATCTTTCCTGTGTGGAAACTTTGGATTCCCACTTTTATCACAGCAAATAAAAGCTTTAAGACAGGATCAGAGAGTAGTCAATGACAAGATATTACCCATACCTACAAAATATGTCAGACATTTCCACATTTTTTTCCAGGCTTAGGTTCATTGATTTAGGATGCCTCACCAAATCTTGTATTCTGGCCCTCAGGCACAGCACAAGTGAATCTTTTTCAACATGCAGTCATTTGGAGCCAAATTTTATTAGTAAATCCAAAAAATGAATTGATTTGTGTGTGTTTGTTATGAAAGGCAGAGATGTTAAAGAACTGGGGCAGGTAGTTTTAGTGGCTTGGACAGTCTAACGTAGCTCAGTTTCGAAAGCGTAAGAAAAAAAGGTCACGGATTACTTGCTTATTGGGTCTTTTGTACGCAAAAGAAAAAAGGCATGGGGAATCAAACCTAATATTTTCTTAAAGAGTATTTGGAAACTATGCAAGCCAATGCAACCAAAATTGGAGTACTTTAATGTTAAATACCAGCTTTTCTGATATCATAAAGATGCAAGACTGTCAGTTGCAGTTTTCAATTATTCTCATTTTACCCAATTAGTTTTGTTAAGATGGAGTCAGCTAAGTACTCCAAGCTAAGCTTCTGCAATTAATTTATATGTAGACAAATATATACATACACACATCAGCACGGGATGTTTATTCTGTATCGGTCCTTCTACCTTAGTTTTGGACACTGTTAGCTTTGTTAAAAAGAGCTCATGCAAACATTAAGACAATAGAGTAAGCCTTCTGTGGGATTTCCGTGATTAGTGGGAACCATTTTACAGCTAACACATGTAAATATTAACTCTAGCCAAGTGGGGTGAACTGAAGCAGTGGTAGTCAGTATACCTCCATGACATATATTCACAGCTCCATGAAGGCCAAACCTTTCAATATAAATGTCTCAAGAGAATTTGTACTAATTTGAACTTACTCATATTTACGTGAGCATCTCACAGATTTAATCATTGTGGTATGCGATAATACCTGTCATTAGCTTCCATGTCTACATGGGTAATTCAGTTTCTGGCTTAGTGATATCTGAGAGCTCTACAGGCAGCTTCGACAGAGAATCATCTTACCCTTCCACAGAAATGGTCCGCTGTAAGCTCACTGTGGGTGGACGCGTTGCAGTGCTGTGCTGGGAATGACTGTATGACCAAGGAAGAATAGAGAGAAGTATTTGTTAAAGAAATAGAAGTTTCTCGTGTTCTTAACATCTCTAACAATTTAGCTAATACTAAAAGAGAAATAACAATCAGATTATTTTGTGTGTCCCTAATGCATTTTGACTTCAGTGATGCCGATCTATTCAAAAAAAAGGCTCAACCCAATGACCTGTTTTTTAATAACAAGTCTCATTCCTCATTAAAAACAGAGAAGGAAGAGAATAATTTTTCCTTATCTTTTCTCTTTTTAAATATACATATATAATTCAGGCACTTAAGTAACTTAGATTTTAATTGTTGTTCTGAAAAACATACATAAAATACAAAACTAATTTGAGAGTGAGAGGTATAACAGTAAAGCATGATATTCTCACTCTAGTTCTTAGGGTTTGCCAGACAGAATGCTTAGCGAAAGAGTACACGCACTACTTATAATTGCACCACAATGTACCTCCGAATTGTGCAAACTGCAACCGACATTCACTATGCCTATTACTTTTATCAGATTTTAGGTAGCTTGAGTTATTCCACATTAAAATTTTATCAACTTAAGACACAACATTTAGAAACAACATGAAGTTTTCAAAGGAAAATATAGCGTTTGTTAGAACTACACTAATAACCGAAAAATCATTTTGATTTTAAAGCCTCAGCTCTAATGGTTTCTCTTGTATGTCATGTTGTCATGACATACATAAGCCTCAGCTCTAATGGTTTCTCTTGTATGTCATGTTGTCATGGCTCAGGAACCTCAAAAATTGTTGCTGTCTTACATAAACCCAGTATATTATGCAGTACACATTAACTTCAGTACTGTATTATGACCTATAGACTATCATTGAATACCTTCATGAAAATATAAACTGATAGTAACAAAACATCAGTCAATGGCAGTTTGTTTAAAAAAAAAAATCAGAAGCACCTGGATATATTCTATGACTGGTTTAAAAGGCAACATTACATAGTGAGATCAAGAATTAATAATGAAAAGTACCTTTTTAAAAAAATTAGGCAATTTTATATCACTAAGTCTACTAGCCGCAGATTTTGTTTTGCCTTCAAACTTTGTATACAACTCAAGCTGTTTGTTCAGAAGAAATAGAGCTTATTTTCATTAAGAGTTAAGATATTCAACATTAGTGAGCAACATATCTATTTTACATGCATTTTCTTCTGTAGCATAGCCAATATTTGCTGTCTGACAAAGGAGATGTAATTTTTTTGTGTAGCATATAGCATTGTGACACATGACATCATGTCACAGGACAAACAAAAGATCTGCTATATAGCTGTACTTCCAGTTGGGACCATTATACTCTTGCTCCGTTCTAGGGAACTGCTGTGCTCATCCACATGCTGACTATTTCAAAAAGTGCGTGGGAAAATATATTCCCCTCACAAGAAGAACTACAGAGCTTTAATCTATTGTACCACAAAGCACAGGCTGTACAGAAGTATCAGGAGTCCCCTTTGGCATCAGGGTATGAACAGAATTGTTGCTCAGTTGGATGAGCATTGCAAATAATATTATACGAATATTGATAAAAATTTCACAATGAGTTTGCTTCTTGCGAATGACTTAGAACGTTTATTTTAAAACTACCTTCTTCTAGTGTTCATGCATCTTCCAAAACTTAAGGGTTACGCTGTGGCTTTTCTTTTGTCTCCTCTCCCTCTACAGAGCCGGAAAGGAATATATATCCTTACAGTCCCATATTGGCTTCCTATACTAAAAGGATAAGGGGTAGGAGAAGAACAGCCTCCACATGGAGCAGTTCCCTTGTACATACGAGAAGGAAGTGGCATAGCAGAGCCATAACTCCTCTCTTTTCGCTGTTATCACTTGTCTCTCCAAAACATTATTCCTCCAAGTTGCACCAAGAGATGCAAGAATATGGCTGCCACAAGGAATAAGAACCCAGTGGAAAGGAGGGAAGATAATGCATGTTGTGGCCCTCTAAGTTGCACTTTTGTCAAGGTCTGTTTCCAAAGAAAGCATGACAAAACCATGCCCGAGCTACACTGCTGATGCCAAATGCTATACGCTTTGTGGGAAAGAGAGATCTATTAACAAGACATGGCAAGGGAGCAACTGAATGATTGACCCAGCAACCTGGCTACACATTTCACAAATATTTGCACACAGCACACTGTAAATCTCAACCAAACCCTTCACTCTTAAGTACTGTTCTCCTATCTTTAAAAGGAACGCTGTCATAGGAAAAGGAAGCATGATTTGGCCCTTTTCCAGAAAAGAAAAAAAAGTAATCTATCACTTTTTCAAGATCTCTTCCTTATTAGAGCCATGGTATACTGTTACAAGCAGAGCTGCAATATTTATATCCAATCATGATTAACCAAACTGACTTGAATTGTGAAAGCATTTTTTCTTTTCCTGAAAAAGATTTCAGCATTGCCCTATTTTTAATACCAGAAAATTTATTTATAAAATTCTAACCAGCTTCAAAATGGAGAGCAGCTGTTAAGTACAAAAAGTAGATAACTTCCTATCAGCTACAGAAATAATAAAAAAAAAGGTCACAAAAACATCTTGGATAATAGACACTTGGGCTGACTATGTCTGAATATTGCAAGTAAAAGAGCAGGCCACACTCACCAGAGTAATTTAGGGAATGCTGAATTATTGCTCCTGTACTGGAATGATCAAAATGAAGAAAGGGGCCAATATGATCCCTGTATTAGACTCTCAGTCCCCACCTTAACAGCAATGATGCATTTTACCCCTGAATTCAACTAACTTTGAGGATTGGTACTTTACCCAGGCTACTTAGTGTGAAATCTAAGGTTTATAACCTCTCAGACAGATCGCATTGTTTAAAATCATTTTGTCATTATATGATTCATGATGGCTTTCACAGAATCAACAAAAATTTCTAGTATTTTCAGAAGAAGTGCTGTTTGACACTGCACACTCTTTGCCATGGAACAAATTACCCCTCTGCATACATACTGACCTAGACCTAAAGCAGGCATTGTTTGCACTCATAAATTTATTCTTGCATTTCAATATTCATTGGACATCATTTTATAAATACAGGTTATTATTCTTTAAAATACATCATTACTATTTTCAAAGGTGGTCAAAACAATACTAATTATAAACTTACTAAGTAAAAGCATTACTGGAACATGACATTGGAGCGACAGCAAACAACATTTCCAGAAATGATTAGGAGCACCAGGTTCCTAGATTTTGGGTGCCCAGTCTAAAATACCTCCAGAGCCCTGTTTTGCCAAAAGTCATCTATTTCAGAAAATAAGATGCGTAACATCTCGTCAGAAGAGCAGAGTACTCGGAACCCACTAAGCGCTCTCCGCACTTATAGGGGAATTCTTACCATGCCATCACACCTACTGGGCAGCTACCCCAGCGCCGTAATTGTTATGGTTGGTGTAGGAAGCAGCCACATCAACTTAACCGAAATGTTATCCAGAATTGGCAGAATGCAAGAAGATTATGCAGCGAGAAAAGCAGATTCATGAGAAAACAAAGTCCTCAACACATTTCAATGGTGGAGTGAAAGAAACTGCCTAGGATGGCAGCATTGTTTTCTATCAGTTGCACTATTAAGTAATATAATCTCATAACAAGTATGAATTAAAGCTGTAATTTCAATTCAGTATTTTGCTGAAATTATCAAGCACTTGAGCACTAGGTGTCATCAGTATCCCTCACTGGAATTACTACCTAGTTATGCAGAATGACACAAGGAACACTATACCTTATTCTTTCTAAGTGAGAAGCTCAAGTATCGGCAATATTCCCCTCCTTAGAGACCCCTTTCAAATACTAGATATTTGCTGCGTACAGTTCAAATGAAGCCTTAGTCTCTCTTTTGCAAAAATAATTCTTAATTGGTGCTATGCAATCTCTTTTTTTGTGTGTCATTTATAAAACGTGATGCTCAGTAAAAGTTTATGCCTTTTAAAACATTGCTATGAATACCTTACAACTGAAAATCAAAACACAACTGTTAGATAGAAGTGGCTTTTCATTTGCAGACAGAAATAACGTTCTGATGTCGTTCCTAACTGACAAGCTCCTGATGACTTCTTTGACTTTTGCCAAAGTGGTGGAACCAGCAGAAATGCTTAACATACTTCTGCATGTGCCAAAGATCATGTACCACACGCTTTGCAGTATAAAAGAAATAAAACATCTAATGAGTTACTGCCATCGACATTTTCCACAAATGACTGCTTAAACATTGACACAATTATATTGAGACATTTAGGCAAAAAGCACATTTTCCAACTCACAGATCAAAGTATTTAGAATCTTGGCACTTAGGCTTATAAAAATGCTACCCTTCATCTAAAGTATTACAGAATTAACTTCTTAATAGCTTTAATAATAATAATAAAAAATTTCAATATACTATTCAGAAGTACTCCAGCCACCCAATTTGGGTTTTCCCTGAAGAAATGAATCTCATACACTCTTATTCCTGTAAAATATTACAGTTTTAACTTAATTCCATTTAATTTTAGTTCATTGAGACAATGGGAATACACTATTTGTGTAAAATGGTTTATATGAGCAAAGGAACAAAGACTGAGATTCTAAATACAAAGATAAAGGACAAAATAGGGAAGAAAAGACCTCACCTGTCTTTTTCAATGTGTTTACATTGTTGGTCTTTGTTTTAAACCTGCTTCTGAGGCAAGACCTGCTGTTTCATGTCTTTGTACAATACTAATAATAGGTAGAGCAGCCTGGTGTCGACATATTTTTGAAACTATTATCATGAAAATAACAATGGCAATAAGTGTTATACTAACAATAAGGGCAGCAGCCTGTCTCCTAGATTTTAATTCTTTTTGAGGCCCAGGATGCTTTAAATGCATTACTGCTGTGTGGGTGAGGCTGAAACTGGAGGTTGCACCATTAACCCTGCTTCCCTCTATAAGGATGGCAGACACTAATGCTGTCCCCTCACAACTGCTGTGACACTTTCTCC